GGGTAGTGGGACGATGTGCACAGGTTGATGGGTAGTGGGAGGGTGTGCACTGGTCCATGGGGAGCGGGAGGGCGTGCACAGGTCCATGGGTAGCTGAGTGTGTGCACAGGTCCATGAGTAGTGGGTTGGCGTGCACAGGTCCATGGGTATCGGGAGTGTGTGCACAGGTCCATGGGTAGTGGGTTGGCGTGCACAGGTCCATGGGGAGCGGGAGGGCGTGCACAGGTCCATGGGGAGCGGGAGGGCGTACACAGGTCCATGGGTAGTGGGTTGGCGTGCACAGGTCCATGGGGAGCGGGTTGGCGTGCACAGGTCCATGGGGAGCGGGAGTGTGTGCACAGGTCCATGGGGAGCGGGAGGGCGTGCACAGGTCCATGGGGAGCGGGAGGGCGTGCACAGGTCCATGGGGAGCGGGAGGGCGTGCACAGGTTCATGGGGAGCGGGAGGGCGTGCACAGGTCCATGGGGAGCGGGAGGGCGTGCACAGGTCTGTGGGAAGCGGGAGGATTTGGTGAACGAAGTGTCGCCCGTGAAGGCCATAAGTTAGTTACCTCCAGTAATGCACTTCAACAGTTTGCAGGTGGTATATCACCGCAAGACATCACGTGTTTTTCTAGTCGCCCGCTGCAAAACGACGGTGACGGACTTAAGCTGTTAAAACTTACGTCAAAGTGTGAATGAAACCGAACATTCTCCGCGGATTCGCCCGTGCTTAAAGCACGTCGTGAAAAGATTACGCTCATTCGACGCCAAAAGCAAGGGGCAATTCTGAGAATTGTTCGGAACAGCCCCAAGAGTGGGGGCCAAGTCCCGCCAACTAAAAGAAGCCAACGTAGATCTTCACGAAGAAGGAAGCTGTACACCGTAAACAACTTTATGCGACTTTGGGGTTATCGCGTAGCAAATCATCGAGTCGAATGTTGCCAGGTGCAGCACGGCTATTCCATGCAATAAAACAGTAAATATTGCATCTTCAGTTGATGCGATTCCCAGGCATATGAAACATAGGTGCCGGAGCAGAAAGCAAAGGAAGTAGCTGCCCCCCCCCCCCTCGCCCAAATTTTAGGACCGACAGGCAGGGCTTACTAGTATGTATACATTACAAAGGAAATCAGCTCCGATCTGCCCCACATTCAAGGATGTTGTAAAAGACCATGGTGCTCTGGGCAGCAAATCTGAAAATACATTACGTTGCGAATGTTATGACGCAGTTCTTGCATTTTTATATTTAGTTTGACTGCGTGGAGAGCATCCTCGTAACCTGGGCGCTGACAGTGCTTATTACGATGTGAACCACGTCTTAATGCTTCCCGCAAACAGCTTGCGCTTTTACCCATGCGACGGTCGGTTTGCCGCTAGCATTGGATTCCGCGACATGCGTTCGCTGCGGCTCTGAGTGGGCTGTGAGGCGTCCTTGATGCGTACGTGGTTGGCTTCTCCAGCCAGACGGCTATCCAGGCGACCAGCTGGCCTCCCCGCAGGGAGACGTGCAGGGGCTCAGAGGTCACGGGCCCGTCTCTCATCAGGTCTTGGGGGCTCTTTGGGCCCTTCGAGACCTACGGGACCTCTTTGGGTCATTTGGGCCCCTCGGGAGCGGCGATCGAGTGCTTGAAGGGCTGAGCAGAGGGTGCGTTAAGGGGCTCCTGTCCGAAAGAGCTGTCATTCAGAGGGCCCATTGCGTCGGTCGGAGGCCCACTGGGACAGTGTGGGCCTCTATGTCGGTTAGAGACCACCGACGCCGTGTCGGCCTAGGCCCTGGTCGATCACTTCCCAGTCAGGGACCAAGCCAGGACCCGCTATTTGCGTTACTAGAGATCTCTGAAACAATGAGAACCTCGTTGTGCCGGTCAGGCGTCTTCATTGCTTAACATTAATTCTGCGTCGGTAAGGAGTCCAGAATCTGCTAGGGAGTATTTGATGAACAGGAACTGAGACAGAGCCTCGGATGTCAGAGGGTTTGTTGCGTTGGTTCGGACCATCTGACAGTGAAAGGAAATATGAGCAGTGTCAATGCAACGACAAAAAATAGAACTGTGGAATGACTGTCAGCCAGGGGCGTCAGTAGCGTGTGGGACGCTCCACCCGGTGACAGCCAGGTGTCAGCCAGAGGCCTCAGTAACGTGTGGGACGCTCCACCCGGTGACAGCCAGGTGTCAGCCAGAGGCCTCAGTAACGTGTGGGACGCTCCACCCGGTGACAGCCAGGTGTCAGCCAGAGGCCTCAGTAACGTGTGGGACGTTCCACCCGGTGACAGCCAGGTGTCAGCCAGAGGCCTCAGTACGTGTGGGACGTTCCACCCGGTGACAGCCAGGTGTCAGCCAGGGGCGTCAGTAGCGTGTGGGACGCTCCACCCGGTGACAGCCAGGTGTCAGCCAGAGGCCTCAGTAGCGTTGGGGACGTTCCACCCGGTGACAGCCAGGTGTCAGCCAGAGGCCTCAGTAACGTGTGGGACGTTCCACCCGGTGACAGCCAGGTGTCAGCCAGGGGCGTCAGTAGCGTGTGGGACGTTCCACCCGGTGACAGCCAGGTGTCAGCCAGGGGCGTCAGTAGCGTGTGGGACGCTCCACCCGGTGACAGCCAGGTGTCAGCCAGAGGCCTCAGTAACGTGTGGGACGCTCCACCCGGTGACAGCCAGGTGTCAGCCAGAGGCCTCAGTAGCGTGTGGGACGCTCCACCCAGTGACAGCCAGCTGTTCGATGAGTCGATCTCGACCCCTGTGACTCTGATTAGACCCTCTGCGCCAGTGCGGTGACGCCGCTGGTGCGCCATCAGTGATCCTCTGTGTCAGTGAGCGCCCCTGCGTCGATCAGGGACCGACTGCCCCGGTCAGGAGGTCTCCCGTTTCAGGGAAGGGATGCCTGATATGTCCCTCTAACGGCCTCCGGGTCGACCTGCAGAGGGCCCCGGCCCCATGTTACCAGAACGGCAGCCAGTGGATACCCCTGGCTGGGGCAGAAGGGTCCTTCAGCCGTAACCGGGGAAGGCAATGTGCCCTTTTGTCTTCTACCCGCGGGACTTCCTGCACGCGACAGTAAGGGGCGTCTGAAGGGTTCAATAGGTTTATCGAAACGTGGCAACAATATACATCGACATGGCCAGCACATGTTTGCCAGAGTGCGTCCATCCTTGGGCAGAGCAGGCCGGTCAACAACCTGAGCGGCGCTGTGGCCGCCGCAGCTCGCCCCAGGCGGCGGGATACGCGCGCGCGAGAGCGATCATGCGTTGCGAAATCATGTTTTTTAAACACTTTTAATAGCAATTCGTACCGTTCAAAGGTTAGGATAGGACGTGAGTTACACCTGTACATTTTAAGGCTGATTTTTTGAGCGGATTATTAGTTACAGCAACACGAACAATAGAGATTCCATCAGTATGTCAAGGGGTCGTCTTGCTGAATAGGCTAATCCATTCCGAGTATCAATCCGAGCAGGTTGAATCTGCGGTCCGAACTACTGTCTGTATGTAAGAAGTTGAGTCCATGAGCTGAACAAAAAACTTTTGTTCTGCTTTTTCGTTTTCGTGGTCCGTTTTCCGCCGCCTGATATCAGCTGTGAGGGCCGCGGCTCGGCCCATGGAGACTGCTAAGCCATCATCGCTAGGTAGGCAACGCTGTTAACACTTTAAGACTGTCATCGCGCGTGTTTAAGACTGTATGAAGCCCTTTTTGCACACTATCTTTGAAAAAAAATATGAACATCCCAGGCGAACATGACTTAGTCATATCGACAAAAAGCCTCTTGGAATGCACACTGCTGTTCACACCACAGTGACCTATATTACAGTTTACACCACAGTGACCTATACACACACCTAAAAAAAACTTCGGCAGTGCACTGTCATTGGCTATTACGGCCCGAATGGGCCATTACAATATAGATAGCCAGGGTGTTTTTTCGATGCAGCCATTGATACCCGGTCCCTCAATCTTACTGACCTGAATGCAAGCAGCATTGCTTCTTTTGGCGTTCTGGATCATCAACATCCACAAATTTTAGAGAAATGCCTCCAGTTCCATGGTTAGCACTCGTACCCTATCGACGTCCGTAAGTATCGATCCCTATTTGCGTAGCAAGTTACCATCATTTCGAAACACTCGTAAATCACCTTTGTCCCCACAATCAGTGATAAATGTTAAGCTACTAATGGCTTACTCTGAACTTAGGGGACAAAGTGCGGTTTGGTGGTGCACACCATTTTCTGCTCTTTAACACCAAATGTGCGCCTCTCATTTCCTGTCGCCTAGTTGAACGTTGAGTTTTTTATATTTTCGACTCGCTTTTAATTTAAACTTCAAATGTACGGCTGTTTCAGGTACCCTCAAACAAGTGGAAGCTACTAAGAGATGTGAAATATCGACCAGAAAGTGAAATTGAGGACCGAGGTATTCATCACCGACAGGGTGGCATCAATTTGCAGCTGAATATGTGCCTGTGCATTCGGAATCATTGGTTACAGAATGTTCTAAGGCTCCTGATTCAGATCCTGATTGGCAGCTATAAGTTGGCGCCGATCTCCGTCTCTCCATGCTGAGGCCTGGACTCATTATGGGATATTTACGAAACGCATGCCAGCGCATTTTTTGCACTTTACCTAGCTTATGTCGGTACTGCTCATGGGGTAATGCTGCTCCCCCACCCGGTGAAATCGTTCCTTTGCCGCTGCTAGTACACCACGCAAAATCACATTTTCAAAACCCTTTACACATCCATGCATTGTTACATGGTTAATGCCGAACTTTAACGAAACGAGGCGGAATTGGTCCACCAGCTCCCGGTGTCCTAGCTCTGTGTGCGACACCAGTGTTTGGCACGTGTGAGTAACGTCTGGAGGCACACAAGCTTACTGACTACGGCAAACTCCACATTCTACATTTTCCTTGTGAAGTTATTTTCAGGTGTTATGTCCTGTTATATTTGCGCGGTCTCGTCCGGATCGAAATAATCTCGCAACCACTCCTGCATCGAAGTCACTCTTCTCAGTGCACCCGAATGAAAACGCACATCGCTTTTGATTCGTGTTCCACATAGGTACCACCAGCACAGCTGCCTGCAAATTGTACTTATTCAACAGTTCCTTACCCTCGGCGTCTGCCAACAAGTCACCACTCACAAACACACGCACACACAAACGCACACTTATTTACAGGTCAGTGCGCCCATTGGGAGGGCGGCAGTGACGCCCAGCACGGATGGCACGCGAGGGATCCCCTAGGAGACGCCGGGACGACGCCTCGGCGCCCTCCTCGGCGAGAAAGCGGCAGCCACATCAAGAACGCCCCGTCGGCTACGCAGCGTGCAAAACTCGGTGAAGAGCGGTCTGTGAACACACGGATAGCCAAGGGGCAGCTAGACAAACCTTCCGGCGCCGCGCCGCCGTCGCCCGCTCGGAGGCCATGCCGAACGGCGCCGCACACACGTCTTTGGTGGCAGGCTGCTGCGCGCTACGATGGTCTAAGCACAGTCTAGCTAAGCTGGCCCGGCTCTATCACAGGAAACGCTTATAATATGCCGCCGGCGCGACGCACGGGCGGCGAGCGCGCGCGGCTAGATCGCACACAGAAACACAACGTCGAGTTCGGGTCGGGGCGCGGCCGCGCCGGCCGCGGCCCGGCCGGGCCTTCGTTGCGGCCGCGAGGGCCCAACGCCGGGCGCGGGCGCCCCACGACCCCGCAGGCTTCCGCTCGTCCGGGTCAGGCCTGGTCAGCGTCCCGCCGGCGACGCGCCTCCCCCGGGCGTCGAGTGGACTCGTCCCGCCTGCAGCACAGTGGACTCGTCCCGACCGCAGCGCAGTGGACTCGCCCGGACTGCGCCGCAGTGGACCCGTCCGGTCTACAACACTTGAAAGTTCTGGTAGCGGTAGTCGAAGTCGGCGCTAATGCCGTGCCGCCCGGCCGGCACGCTGTTTTGCTGCGATTGGCTCATGGCGTTGATATGACTGCTCACCTGCAACAAGACAACACAACTGTTGCAACACAACTGCTTACGAGAGAGCACCAGTGTCAGCATGTCGGCGGCGGATGTGCAACGAGGCGCCGTTGCAGGCATGGCTGCCACTCATCGGCGGCCGTGGGCTTTCTGCGCAGTCAGGCGGGACTTTCACAGATTAATGGTAGAGGTGGTCGGTGTGAAGTTTGGGTAAAATTATCTTCATCGTGCACGCATGGAGCTATGCAAATGTCACTACTTCCGTGGTTCGCGTATTTCGCCATACTGGCCCTCTTCAGCGAAGAGCCTTTCCCGCAACTGCTTTTCCAGAAAAAGTGGGCGCCCTATGAATCATGCAGTTGACGCGCTCTAAAAACCGAAATAATCATAACCATCATCGACTGAACAGAGTTCAACGGAATACGCAAGGCCTAAATCAGGGCAATATCCTAATAGGGCTGGGCCTTCTGCCGCTCCTGAAAACATGCTGTGGCCTCCTTGCCCCGACTCAAATAGAGCTTGTAATCCCACGTCCTTCCTATATCTGGATGAAACTGGTGGTAACTGGTTGTAACTGGCATCACTGAGCCGATTGCCCCCGATCCGCATTGTCTGCGTCAGCATCGTGCCGGATTTCTGGGATAAACAACACCGTTATGGTGATCCCGGGCTTAAAATCCAATTTGAATGAAGAAGTAGCGTTCTGTCGGATATACGCTTTAATAAATCCGGCTTTGTATTTTTCTAACTCTGTGTGCACACGGCTAAGGCCTTGCCAAATCACACTGGCGTTGGGAATGTTGCCACCAAAATCCCGTGGCAAACTGACTAGTGTTGGGCCGCCGTCGGCAGCCGTAATACTTCCGGCGTCTTCTCGGCTTACCAGCATGTATTGGCACGTTTTACTTCTACTGAGAATCCCCACGAGGCGTGACTATTTTAAGCCGAGGGCCCAGTATCTCGATGAACAGGTCATCGTGGCGGGAGCTGGCGGTGGAGGGCTGTTCGTTCCTTTCCCTGCCTCTCCGGCAATGCTAAGCCGCAAGGCCGCCTCTCCCGCCCGCGGGGCGACCTGACCGCGTGGTTACGACCATGGCCCGGCTTTTCCTGACCGGATCAAGCATCACTCAGCCGTGTCATCTGCGTCATCTGCGTCTGTGTCATCATCATCTGCGCGTGTGACGGACTTCCTCACGACCGTTTTTTTTTACTCTGCACAATTCTATGTTTGTATATGCTTGTTCCCGGCTGACTAAGCTATGCAATCTGTGAGTTAGGCTGTCTCGGTCCTCGTCTGCGGGCTAACCTGCGTGCATGGGTAAGGTCCTCGTACCACACTGCCCTGACCGTTCGGTCACGCTCCCCGCCCACGGGCCGGCCCATCTCGGCCCTCCGATGAAGCCCGGCCGCGCCGCACCGCTCCGGACGCTCCGCACTGCTCACCTGCGGGTTGATCTGGCCGTGCGAGTTGAGGTGGTACTCCATGTTGCCGTAGTAGCCGCCGTACTGGGAGTAGCCGGCCGCCTGGTTCGGCTGGTACGAGCGGTCCATCACCGCCTGACCCGACACCAGGTCGCCCATCGGCGCCAGCGACGCGGCCGGGTTCCAGATCGTATTGTACACCCCACCGTAACTCTGGAAGGGGCGGCGGGTCAGAGGAGCGCGCTGGCGCCGGCGGTACGCCCAGCTTGACGTCCTGTGTCGTCGTTCAAACCTCACGAAACGCAAAATGTTCATCCGTTCATTCGTTTAACCTCTGTCAGGACCATAACAGCTTTCACGACCTGCAGTTCTCTCCGCCAAGTCAGCATCGTCTCTGGCGTCACCCTGCTGACCTGGTGCGGCGTCGTGGACGGTGTGCTGATGGCCGGGGCCGTGGAGCACGTGACGGGCGGCGTGTACGGCGAGTCACGCGGCCCGGCCGCCGGCGGCGACGGCGTGCCGGCCGCCGCCGTCGGCGTCACCGCCGCCGCGTGCGCCGCTGCTGCCGCCGCCGTCGTCGGCGGCGTGCGCGTGCGCGGCTTGGGCTTGGGCTTAGCCTCGGGCGGCGCGCCGCCGTTGGTGTTGGTCTGCTTGGCTTGCTGGCGGATCTTGGCGCGTCGGTTCTTGAACCAGACCTGCCCGGCAGAGGCGGCAGCGTTAGCATCGGGTCACGCTGGCGCCAGTGGGTGTGTCATACGCCCGGCTTTAGGCCGATGCGCGCCCAACGCGTTTCACAGAAATAGTTTGCAAAACGAAAAGCTGTTGAGTTGTACCGTGCTACATTGTCTTCCTTTCTGGACCACAGACTGACTTTTAAAAGTGGCCCAATAGAAATCGTTTTCCCTTTTTCCATGTTTCTCCTTCATCAGCTGAACCTCAAAGGCTACGCAAAAGCGTCCACAAGCCCGCGCAGCCTCGTGCCCCAGCGTGCCCGGCCCGGTCGCCACTGTCACCGCGTCCCCTCCCTCCCACCCAGACAGCGGGGCGGGCCATCCCTCAGGCCGGCGGTGCGATGAGGCGGCCGTATGCCGGCTCACGCCCGTCCGCCGGCGGCGGGGCCGGCTCCTCCGTACCACCGGCGGCGGGCCGGCGCCTCCGCACCACCGGCGGCCGGGACAAGCCCGGTCCGGCCGCCGCCGTCGCCGTGTGACGCGCCTGGCTAACGGCGCGACGGCCGGCGGCGACAGCGGTGCTGATCACCGGGACGATGAGGCGGGTCACGTGACGTGCCGCCGCTGTGTAATGGGTTTCTCCACACTCCGACACATTCCGTCCGTTCTCGGCTGGTTTTTCGGCTCTGCACGTGACGGGATGTCCCGCTGATTGCTTTTTTTTCTCGCCGTTTTAGGTCGCAGGGTGTGCGCAAATGAGCTTTGTCTCATTTGCACCTTTTGCTAAAGAATGAATCACACGGGAACTAGAGGTGCATGAGTGAATACTTCCTCAGTTCTTTTTGTGGGTAGGAAAACAGTGGCAAATGACACTGATCAATGCAAACTTTTGTAAAAGAATTCGGTTGAACCTTCCAGGTCAAGGCCATTCCGTGTCACACTGGCAGATGCAGCTGCATCGCATCGTTCCAACGACGTTGAACCAATTAGCGAGCGGAGGGTGTCGATAATCATTAATTAGTCAGAAGTTTTCCTGCTTGCAGGTCCCCATAACAAAGTTTGCTATCTAGATTAGACCTGAAGACACATTTGAGTGTTGACAACATAAAAAAACAACTATCAAAGCCCGCCACTGGGAGTTCCTGACATTAGAACAATATTCCCGTCAGGAGAGGCCTGGGCTAAAGCGCAAAATAAAGCCAACTGGGGCACAGTGACATGAAGTATCCAAGGTACATAAAAATCATCAGTTGATATAGCCTTTGACTTAGCAGTGTTTTATCAAAATCAGTCAGATGTAACTCAAGGGCCATCAGCGGTCTTCAAAACCTGGATGATATAAATCTGGAAGTAAATGCCAGGATAAATCATTCTTCCGGTTGATCGCATTTTCATGATGGCACGATAACGTAAAATGTAGCAATGTGTGGGGGTGTAACTTGAAAAACAAGTAAACGCCAGGCAACAGCACATCGTGACCATAATGACCCCATTCCGCAAACCAGGCGCTCGTCATTTTTGCCTCCATCCAAGCCCGCGCGTAAAAGTCACGGCACCAAAAACGGACAACTTTTGCGCCATGACCTACTACGGCCCATTTTTACCCTGGCCGCGAATGGCGAACGTCGCCACGATCGGTTGTCCAGTCAGACCGGGCGTGCTTCTACGTCACACCCAACGGGTATGCCTGCCCTTCCTCCCGCTCGATGACTCCCGCCTGCCTTTGCCTTGTAACCACATGCTGCGTCTTCCTGGACAGGCATTCTGTCCCCAGCAAAAAAGGAAGCAAAAGCATCCAGCCTCGTGCAAGGCGAGTACTTCCTGCCCCGTCATACCGCCCTTCCTGTCCAGCTCATGCAGGACAACCCCCCCTCCCCTCCGGCCTCCCAGCCCACGAACTCTCCCGCCTGCCACTGGACGAACGCCCTGCCTCTGCTCAACGCTGCCCTCCGGCTGACACTGACCTGGACACGTGACTCGGGCAGGTTGATCTTGATGGCCACCTCCTCGCGCATGAAGATGTCCGGGTAGCGCGTCTTCTGGAACAGCGCCTCCAGGATGTCCAGCTGCTGGCGCGTGAACGTGGTGCGCTCGCGCCGCTGCTTGCGGCCGTTACCGGGCCCGGCTGCGGAGACGGCGTCAGGTCAGGGGGGCGCGCCGCGACCCGGGCAGGCCGGGCGCCGAACGCCGGCCGGCTGCTGCCTTGTGGACAGCAGCCGGCCGGTCAGCACCGGCGGCTTGGAGCGAGCACGACACAGGCGCAACGGCCATCAACACGGCCGGTCGAGTGGCGGTCTGGCAAGCAGCAAGCGTTTGCATCAGCACAAGTGACATCCTGGCGAGCAGGACAGTGTTTGCGGCAGGTCGCGTTAGTGGACGCACGGGGCGGCACGATAGGGCTTTAAGAGGGGTGACTGCCAAGACGAGCGGCGACACGAAAGCCGTCTTTATTTGAGCATTTTCACGAACATCGTCACGCCGGGGCTTGTGAACACCGCACACCGCACACCGCACACCGCACACCGCACACGTCGCGACAAATCAACTCAGGCGCTGACCAGCGGCGGCCTGTTCGCGATTCCACGAAAGTGTGGCGACCGACACAGGAGGGCGCACCCGCGGCGCGACAGCAGCGCGCGCATGGCGCAGCTGTGTTACGCTCGTCGGGCGACCGCTGATCGCGGCGATAAGCTGCGCGAAAACTCCCCGCATTAATAACTATCGTTATTGATTGGCTACCGCCACATCCGATCGTGACAGTTATTGACGGAAAAACTGCGATACATCGCCGTGCGGCGAGTGTCCGACACGTAATGAGTGGTCAGTTTCCTCCTCGCCCGCCCGGCAGCCGAGCAACGCCCTTAGCTCTGCGAATATTCCATTCAGGCGCGCAGTCTGCCAAACGGTCCCCAGAGGCGCGCCTCGCGACAGCCAAAAAATGGGGTCACAGTCGGCGGCATGCAAGGTCAAAGACGCTTCCACGAGAGTTGGCATCTCATGCACAGTCCTCGGATGCTTGAACTCGCATGCATGCGGGCTGCAGCGGTTGGCATTGTGCGGAGAACTGGGCGGAATGTCGGCGCAGTTTTGCGGGGACGTGGGAATGGAACGGAAAGAGCTGGTGGTGGGTGATAGCATTGTTCGTGGGCGCTGCGGCAACGGGTGAAGTGAAGCAGGGAAACCCTTGAGTCTGGTGTCTTCGAGAATGACCGCAACCATGGTAATAAACCGAGCTGGTGATAAAAGGTCCGTGGGTTCCGCGGGGACGTGGAGAGGAAATAAAACAATTCGATACTTGCGTAGGTGTGTGAACAAAGGTTTTTAAGACAACAGTGGTGTAAGGATACGGTGGAGTCGTGACTTCGCGACCTCATGGGGCGACAAAAAGACTCCGGTAGCATTTAGTTTTGGACCAATGGCAGGGAACATGTCATTTTTCCAGGCTGCCTACAAAATGCTGAAAGCCAGAGAATTGATTCCATCTGATAAAAGCCCGGGGCCAATACCGAAGCAAAACGTAAAATATTGGTAGCTTGCTCTCGTGTTCCGTACCACTTGTCATTAGCTCAAGTACAAGCAGAAAGTCGGCGAAGCCATAGAACGATCTTCTCGCAATCCCTCATATCCAACAATCGCATGTGACGCGGCCGCAAATTCTGCCGCCAAACTTGACCGTACGGGAGGGAGCAGGACCGATTCTGTCCCCTGGGACACCGAGTCCCTGCAGCGGCGGAGACCGCGCCGTACAAAAAGGGATCCGTTGTCTGGCGCCCTAGCCAGCGCACGGGCGCGGACCATTCTGCGGGCGCGCGTGTCCCCGCCTGACACTGTGACCGACGCCTGAGCACCGGCAGCACTGGGGGCCCCAGCTGAGACTTCCACCCCGTGGCGGCGTACTGATCTCCAACACTTGGGGGCAGGCAGCGGTCGCAAACGCCTGAAATTCAGAGATGGAAATTCCCCAAGAGCGGGGTCTTTTGGGAAAACGAAATATGCCGTCTGCGTTACAAGCCTAACACTAACTTTTTTGGGTCCAGATAGGGCCGAACCAGCCTCCCCTCAGCTTCCCAGCGACACCGATCCCGCCGGAGACACTCAGGAGAGTGGTGGACTTCACGGGCCGGGTACACCCACCGGTGACCATGTGGAGTAAGCAACGAAATGGGATAGGTGCAGATTGTGGGAGAGCGTAGGTATCGGTGAGACCCTTACGAAATATCGGGCTGGTAGTCCAAGTATAGCAATAGAACGCTATTCTTTGCGGTTTTTTCAATCACACATGGCTCTATTGACAGCTCTCTTGCAATTATTAACGCAAAAGAGTTAGCTTAGGTGCAATCTGTCCTGAAGCTTTTATGCCATTTGGAACCAAGGTGCTAAAAATGCAAACAAGTGAGTAACGAACGGGCAAAGCTGATAAAATATGAACACCGGGTGGATTGTGTGCAGGAAAGCTCATTAGCAAAAGCCTCTAAAGGGGAGTTTTTCGGTTTTTCCGCTGCCATCTGGCACATGGAATTGTAGGGTAATGATCTACTGGAACAGTGTAATGGGCTTTGAGCGTAGAGAAACACCCTCATAAAGATCGACGCAGGGTTGGAGCCAGCCTCTCCCACAGGTACGCGTCATATTCAGAAGGAAATCAATCCCGAACGACGGCCATTCGAGCCACCTGCTCCCTTGCACAGGAATGACTAGCTGTGCTGGGCATGCTCCTCTTGCGCTCAGCACGCGGCACGTGGACACCCGTGACGCCACGGAGAACCGAACCGAGGGGTCACATGTCTGTCACACCCCAGCCCAGGCGCCGCCGTCAGCAACAGAACCACCAGCTGATACGGATAACTGATTGCGTTTTAGGTCCAGGAGCGACGACGCAGTTTAGCATTATCGCAGGGTAGCTGTTCCAGCTTCCACTTGCTGTAAGAGCCGAGCCTACCGCCGCGTCTGCCCGAGCCACCGCCTCCTACACGGCCGTGGCTGCCCTTTAGACTAGGCCAGACGCGACTGCGGGGACGCGAGCGACTCCATCTGCCGCCCGGGAAGGCCAGAGACGACCGTGACCGACCCGAACCCGCTCTGCAGCCGCCGCTGCACGCCGCGGTTCTCACGCAGCCAGCGGCAGCCCTCCCACGTTCCGCCCGCTTCCGATTCAAATGTCAATGCGCAAAAACGCTGAGGAAATCCGGTACAGCGTTTCCAGCAGCCGCGCCCGCCCGCGCGCTGAGACAATACGCCCGGCTCGCGTGATCATCGGTGACGTCACGTCCGACGGAGGGCGTGATGCCTGCCCTCCCAACTCAGCCTACCGCCGTGCACAGCAGCGTGCGTACGTTTCCAGCAGCCGCGCCCGCCGGCGCACTGAGACAGTACGCTGGGCTGGCGCGGTCGTCGGTGACGTCACGTCCGACGGAGGGCGGCGGCTGGCGCGGCGGCCGCAGCCGGTGTTCACGTGACTGAGCGCGCCCGAAGAACTCTATTTTTTATTCGCTAACAGGCACGACGACGTCGGCAAAGAACCGGGCTCCGGTGACCTAAAAACGAGTCAGCCAATCGCTGGCCGCCGCGACGCTCACGCCAATACTACACCAACACGCGCCAGACTGGCCAATTATTTACCCAATGAGGAAAAGCCCGCGCAATGACGGGACGGCGAGCGCCGGCGAAAAGCGTCCCCTCCCGCCCCCGGCTGCACCGCTGCTGTCGACGGCGGGCGGCGGGACGACAGAGCGCGCGCTGCCGGCTTCGCCACCGCAATTAGACGCGCACTTTTGAGCAGCTAATTGGGTGTTACAAACCGACCACCGCGGCGCGCGGGCCACTCAGGAGCAAGACGCACGTGCTCGCGCCGGGCGCGCCACGTGCCGCGCATTCAAGCGGCTGTGCCCGGTAGCGCCACGGGATCGGGTCTAATCAAATTACTGGGGGCGGCGACAAAGCATTATCCGAGCGTCATATTCCAAATTAGGTCACATGGGAATCGTCGCGACCGGGGACAGATGCGAACCATTTTCCGTGCCAGTCGGCGCGCGCCCGCTCGCGCGCGCGGGGAAATGATAATCTGATCAGAAATTAATTTCATAGATGACAACACTGCAACCGCCCCGGTCACCCGCGTGGAAGGGCGAGATAATAGAGGATACAGGGTGCCGCTCGGTTGCTGCAGGTTTCCCAGAGCGGTCGTGGGATCGCGGCGGCCGCGCCGTGACACTGCGCCGTGACACGGCGACGTGACTTGAGGTCGTGACGTGACGTCGGGACCCGCGGCAGCGGCGCTGCCATGGGTGGGGCCTGGGATCACTTCGTAGCGGCCTTGCGCTCACTTCGCCGCCTGTCCGTTTCGGCTTTCTAGGCATTTGTTTAAACGCGCAAATAATCACCAAAGGAGTAAAACTCCACGAAGCTCTATGTTCTGTAGGACATCTGACTTCATACCTCTACCCCTCCTCCTATTCTCCGAATTTTTCTACGCCTCGCTTGTGAACGCTACACCACGGACATCAATGCACTTCCAGTTTCGAAAGCGCCGACGAATCTAAGCGCGACACATTTCATGTCACATTTTGTGGGCCGTGAAATTTTTGCTGTCCAGGTGCCGTTCCAACGACGCACGCAAGTCAAATCACCTCCTATCGCGCTGGCACACTGTCTGCCTGGCTTGTGCTTATGTGACGCAGCACATATCGGCCCAATCGAACGAACGTGAAGGCCGAACGGCACCGATCCCTGAGACAAGCGGTTCCGGATCAAGATCAAACCGCGATGCCTCTGGATCTAAGTGACAGTTGCTAAGCCGATGTGAGAAGTGACAGGGTGACTGAGGCCGCGGCGCTGTTGTGAACAGAGAGGGTGCAGCAGGAACGGTTGGATTCGGATGCCGCAGGCGCCGACGCACGGAGACGCTCCACAGCGAGCTACGCAGGCCCTCAGCGGGCGGCTGTGCAGGCCGTCATCGCCCGCCAGTCCCACACCGGCCGCGCAACGGAGACAGACATCATAGATGTAGTGGGAACGTCCCACGCAGGGGTGGACTAATGACAGTTTTGAAGTCGATTCTTTCCATGTATAGCCGTAAAGACCGATTTTGAACTTTGTCAAAAAGTGTGAATCAATGCCTCTCCTGCCTTTCGCCCCTCTGCTCCTACACTCAGGCGTATAATTACACCAGCGCTCGGTGCACATCGCGCCGACACAATCAGTT